ATCTCTCTCTCTTCGTGGACATTCTTCCCAACACAGCCCCTTTCCTTCATGATGCGTCCTTAGGCCTTCTCCTCTCTTTACCCCATTCACCCCATCAAGTTCCTCAGCTCCCTCTTCATGCCTTGGGTCTCTGGCCCTGCCTTTCCCACTATGTAAGATCCTAGCCAAGAGAACTCTGCTAGGAAAACCTAACTCGGCTGACTGTAGGATACAACAGCACTCAACACTCCGTGGGCTTGCTAGGGTTGGCTCCTCCACTGGCGCAGCTCTAGAGGTTACTAGGAACAAGTCTTTGCTTAGAGTGGAAACATACAAGCAAGCAATTGACCCTACTCTGTTGCTTGCCTAAGTATATTCGTCTGGTTACCGTTGCTTACCAACGGACGTTTACTTTTCGCTAATTCGGCTTGATTCCCCGCCGTGGACCACGTAGATTCCCGCCTGCCGCTACATAACCCTACTCACTACTGTACTTTGTCTTGCTTTTATATTGTTACTTCCTATGTTCTGTTTTGCAATTAAAAGCATGACAGCTGTCGGAATCTCTCTCTCCTCGTGGACATTCTTCCCAACTCAGCCCCTTTCCTTCATGATGCGTCCTTAGGCCTTCTCCTCTCTTTACCCCATTCACCCCATCAAGTTCCTCAGCTCCCTCTTCATGCCTTGGGTCTCTGGCCCTGCCTTTCCCACTTGCCCCCTCCTCGGCGCCCGCTCTGCTTCCTGCCGCCGATGGACTTCCTGGTTGAAAGGCTGTTCCCCAGTCGAATGCTCTGCGCTCCTTCCTGGCTCTGTGGTTGCTCTCTGGGGCCGGGCCCTTGCCACGTTAGTCTGGTGATCTCTCTTCTCTTGACCCTTCTCTCCCACCAGCACCACCACACCGGAATCCTTGACTTCCTTCACCCTCCATCGTTCTGTGCTTAGCCCTATGTCCAGCATATCCTTCCTCGCCTGCTTGACATACACTTCCTCCCCCACTCCCAACTGCTGCCCCTTCTGCTCTTCCTGTCCTTCTTTCCGTCGTTTGTATCTCTGTGCATCTCTGAGCTGCGCCACTTGCAGGTTCTCTAATGCCGCTGGCAGCATTTCTCTTAGGTACCTTGCCCGCGCTTCAGCCAGCCCCACCCATGCTTCTTCCGAGCTGGCCATGTGACTGAGAGGAGGTCCACCACACATGGTGTCCCTTGTCCCATGCCGCTAGGACCGGCCATCCATGAAGCGCATTGAACAATTCGCCTTTCACTGTGCGAGTCACCAACGCGACCGAAGTCAGAGGGTGCTCTTGAGTGCAACGACTCACAATTTCAATGACAGAAGGCAGAATGTCCAAGCCACATAAAATAATTGAAAACTTATCCTGCATTGCTTCCATGGAAATTTTCTCAAGTGGGTACGATCGAGGATAAAAAACAGAGTTTTTATTAAAAGAAGAGGCAAACAAACAAGAGATTTTGCAATCAGCAAGCTTCTCTAGCTTTAATATATAATCATCACATAGCACATATGCCTCATCCACTCGATCTACTCCTCCAACTAGGTACCCACACCCTAGTTCGGCTTCTGAAAATCCTTCTTTCCAGAAGGTCCAGCACCCAGAATACTTGATTGCTTTCTTGTCACGACATTGCTTTAGGATATGCCCCGTCCTTCCACAACCGTTACACTGCATCTTGGAGAAGTCTGGGGTGTTAGGACGGCGCCCTCCCCCTCCATTAGCCCTCTTGGTCTGCGGTCCGGGCTGGTGATCACGCTGCTGGAAAGGCCGCTTGTTCCAACCGCCTCCGCCATTGGCATTCTGGGGTCGGTTCCCATGACCACCAGAGCCTTCAGCACGGGGTTGCTGGTCTGGCTTTTCGGGACCATACATGTACGTGCGAATGATGTTGTCAGTTTTGATCACCTGATCCTTCATGTCCTTGTAAGTCGTCCAATTGGTCATGCCACGAGTCACGTGTGCCTGCTGCAGCTTGACAGGAAGGCCTTTCATGAAGGTGTGCATCATCTCCTCCTCGGACAAGGGCTTCTGGAGCATGCGTGCTGCGGCTTCGAACTCGACCGCATATTGCTGCACCGAACGGTCACGACACTTAATACTCTCAAGGCATCCGCGCAATTCCAAGTCGGACTTCTTGACCATGAATGCCCCTTTCAGCGCGGTGCAGAATTCCGGCCATTCAAACGGTCCCTGCGCCTGCTTCTTAGCGCCATACACTGCCCTGCGGGCCACCTCATCCAATGCACGAGTAGCTGCGGTGACGCGAGCCTCGGGACGCACATTCGCAAGGGTCATGGTGGTATCCACCAGGTCAAGCCAAGGCTCCACCTCCGTCTTGCCATGGTTAAACTCAGGCAGAGGCGCCGAGAGAGACCCAAAGGGTGCGGCCTCGGTTGGAGGTGGCTGGTGCATAGCCGTTGCAGCGCCTACAGGCGTATATGCGGGCGGAGCAGGTGCTGGCTGAGCAGCAGGAGCGGGCCTACGCTCAGGAGGAGGCTGGTAAATGCCCTCCCTCCTAAGCTCCCCGAACTGCTCATGGAGCTTGTTGAATGATGCTTGCATATTGTTGCATCTATCCTGAAGCTCCTCAATTTGGCGCTTTTTAGTGCCCAGGCTGCGACAGAAGTCACTAACCTCTTTCGTGGCAATGCGCAACTCAGCCTCAAGGTTCTGAGTATGCTTCTTGAGTCCATCAATGGACGTCTGCTGCTGCAGGATGGTGATATTCTGAGTTGACACTTGAGCCTGGAGCTTGGCAATCTCCTCGGAGATAGGATAACTCATGCCTTCACCCTCAGTGAAGTCATTTTCATCACCAGTGTTCTCCCTGTCACCGGTGTTTTCCTCTTCGCCATGGTTATCAGCTTCTCCATCGTTATCAGTATCACCATGGGTATCAGTTTCAACATGGTTATCCTCATCTCCAAGATCCAGGTCCTCAATGTCATCCAGCTCAATGTCAGCCATTGCCCCATCTTGATTGAGGACAATCTCAGCAGCATTGTTCACCACCTCATTGGGTGCAGTGGGCCCTTCCTCCCTTGCCATATCCTTCTCTTGGCTAAATGCCATAAGGATTTAGGGAGCTTTAGAGATCTGGGTTGATTCTGTTAAGACCCTTTTACCACCTCAATGGTAAAGCAAGAAATTATTATAAAAGAAATTTCTTCTACAGAATAACTCAAGGTTACCAAAGGTAACATATTTGTTGTCAACACTCCCAATCACCTAAGTGAAATGGCAGGATCTATCCAATTCTCAATAAAGAGAACTTGAATAACCCTCAACAAATCCTACAGGTCTTAGTTTATACTCCACTACTCAACAGTAGAGAGCCTTCCACCAAAAGATGGGCAAGAGAGATAAATCTCTCTTCTTAAGCTTGAAGTTGCAGTTGTAGATCTTGTAGATCTTGAACTCTTCAAGCTTCCAGATCTTGAGTGTTCTCTTAAAGAGAAACCACAACTCCAAGATCTATTAAAAAAAAAATATAGGGGCAAAATCCCCCACTAGGCTTAAACTAACCCTAGCTCTAGATACCAATGTAACAACCACGGCCCTTATAACAACGGGCAACCGTGTGTTAAATATAATTCCTCTTTGACAATATATATACAAGGCTTCAAAGTTTAAACTAATCCCACCAAGGGATATTCTAGCCTTGATAGTACTCTTGAAGCTTGAGAGGAGAAAGAGAGCTTGAAGAAGGTTGATCAAACTTATCAAGTAGGTATGTAGCTTCTTGTAGAGCTTGCCCTTCAAGTAAACACAATTCTAGTTGTGTAGGAGAGCTTGTTAGGAGAATCAAAGATACTTAGAGAAATCCCATTTCCAAATTGGTAAGTTGGAGTTGGGAAGTGGGAATGAGCTTCAAAGCTTCAACCCCTTCCACAATACCCCTTGGGGCTCTTCCCAACCATGGCTTCCATGGTTGGGAAGCTTCTAGGCTTGGAGCCTATGTGGCATCTTTGTTTGGTTGGGAAAACCCAACTTAATTGTGTTGTATGGTTGTTTTGTTGTTTGGTTGGATTGTAACAACAACTGGCACAATGTGATTGGTTGGAAATCCAACCTTCCCAATTTTCACTTTGATGGGTTGGAAGTTTCCAAGCCTCAAGGTTGAGGTTTGGAACAACCCAACCAACCTTCCCCTCCAACTCAACCTTCCCGATTCCCATCGAGTCATTTCTCATCGAGCACTCTCTCGATGTTGACTTAGGAAGCTAGCGGTAGATTAGGTAGAGTAGGTCATGCGTTACATGCGCGCCCACGTGTGTCCTCTCATATCTCTTCATGCTTCCTCCCCCCCACTCAAAATCCGTGTCATGCGCAGACCGTGGGGGGCGGCTTGAAGGACAAAGGGGGGTCAGGCAGGGTATCGCAGGTGCGTGAGTGCACACGAGACGACGCTGCCGCTACTATTCTACAGACTGGTAGTGTGGTCCCAGGCAGTCTTTTGTGGAACGGTGGCAGGTGGCAGGTGGCAGGTGACAGGTGGCAGGTGGCAGGTGGCAGGTGACTGTGCTCCCTGCGATTCGCCTATTAGCCTTGCTGCGAGGAGCTGAGTTTGGGACTGGGAGGGCAAAGAGCTCTGTGCGACCCATTGAGCTCTGTGCGACCCATTAATTCGTTGCTTCTCAATGCGTTCCGGGATATCTTGTTTCCCATCCGCTTGCCTTACGCGCTGCTACCTTGTTATAACTTGCCGTCAGGCGAACCTTCCATTAGCCGCTGCTGTGAATCGGTGTTCCTGCCTCATTGCTTCCGGACAATGGCGTATCCTTTGCCATTGTTTCTGAGGCGCCTCAGGAATCGTCTCATCTCACATGGGTTGTTGGTGGTCGCTTGCATCCATCACTGCGTGCGTGCAGAGAAAGGGGCTTCCTCTGCCGCTCATGACATATGAAAGCACGCTGGTCTCAACAGCCAACGGCACAATGGGCAACACCATGGTCAACTACAGCACCTACCTCGATGACAACAAGATCCGCCTCCCGTATGCGCCGCCATGCCCCTCTTGCTGCACGCCACTCGCTGCACGCCACTCGCTGCACGCCACTCGCTGCACGCCACTCTCACTCACACTCTCAAAACACCCCTCTCTCGGTCAACCATCGTCCTGTACCCCAGCCCTTCACAAAAGACATACCCCGTTCGCCCTTCCTCTGTAATATCCCCTCTCTCCCCTTTCTCTCCTTTCTCTCCTTTCCTCCCCACCCCCCTCGTTCCCACCATCCGTCACATACCTGCCCCCACCAGCGTGTACCCGTACTACGTGGCGCTCAAGCTGGGGTCGCAGAGGCAAGAGTTCAGCATGGCGCTCGACCTCGTTATCCCCGACATCTTTGTGCCCTGCACTGCGGCTCCTCGCGCAAGGGGGTGCGTGGGGCTCCGCCCTCCGCCCACTCACCCACCCACCCACCCACCCACCCGCGGGCTACACTCCCGGGGGAGTGCGAGGGATCCCTGATATCCCCTTCATTGCCCCCCCACATTGCCCCCCCAGCTGTGGAGTGAACCAGATGGGCCACTGGGGCATGCAGGGGTGGCAGTACGGGTCGTGGGCAGCAGGAGGCGTGCTGGGGCTGGGGTGGGACAGCCCCTTCCTGCAGCAGCTCACTGGTACCGACGACCCAAGCGCCTTCGCGGTGTGTCTGGAGGAGCCGACGCCGACGAACAAGACGGGGTGGGATGGCAAGGTGCCGCTGCAGACAAGCAGCAGCCATCTCACCATCGGAGCCACCGGCCTCCCTGCCGGCGCCAGCTACGCCTCCATGTAACCCCTCTACTTGCTCCACACCCTCTCGTGCTCCCACGCCTTCTCACACTCTCATACCCTCTCACACTCTCATGCCCTCTCACACTCTCATGCCCTCTCACACTCTCATGCCTTCTCACACTCTCATGCCCTCTCACTCTCATGCCTTCTCACACTCTCATGCCTTCTCAAACTTTCATGCCCTCTCACACTCTCATGCCCTCTCACACTCTCATGCCCTCTCACACTCTCATGCCCTCTCACACTCTCATGCCCTCTCACACTCTCATGCCCTCTCACACTCTCATGCCCTCTCACACACTCATGCCCTCTCACACTCTCATGCCCTCATGCCCTCACACTCTCATGCCCTCTCACTCTCACGCCCTCTCACACTCTCACGCCCTCTCACGCTCTCACGCCCTCTCACGCTCTCACGCCCTCTCACGCTCTCACGCTTCCCACACGGCGCCAGCACCTGTACCTGTGTAAGATGGATGGATGGGTGGGTGGGTAAGATGGCCCCTGCCTTAAGGCTGCTGTCCCCTCTCCTCCACCTGCGCTGCCTCCTCCCAACCACCCATACATCCACCCACTTCCCCACCCATCCACCCACCCATCAATCCACCCACCCACCCACCCACCCACCCATCCATCCATCCACCCACCCACCCATCCATCCATCCATCCATCCATCCATCCATCCACCCACCCACCCATCCACCCACCCACCCATCCACCCACCCACCCATCAATCCACCCACCCACCCATCAATCCACCCACCCACCCATCAATCCACCCACCCACCCATCCACCCACCCATCCACCCACCCATCCACCCACCCACCCATCCACCCACCCACCCATCAATCCACCCACCCACCAATCCACCCACCCACCCACCCACCCACCCACCCACTTACCCACCCACCCACCCACTTACCCACCCACCCACCCACCCACCCACCCACCCACCCACCCACCCACCCACCCATCCATCCACCCACCCATCCATCCATCCATCCATCCATCCATCCATCCATCCATCCATCCATCCATCCATCCATCCATCCATCCATCCATCCATCCATCCATCCATCCATCCATCCATCCATCCATCCATCCACCCACCCACCCACTTACCCACCCATCCATGGACCCATCCACCCACCTCATGCGCATTACCCATGTAAACCCCCCCCTCCCTCCCCCCCCCCCTCCCCCCCTCCCCAGGGTTTCAAAGGCTGGGCTGCAGTACAGTCACATCACACTCACCACAGCCACACAGGCGCGCAACATCACAGACGACCCCTCCTACATAGACACCGCTATTGTTCCCTACCTGCCCGAGGATTTCCCTAAGAAGGCCACGCCGGGCGTCCTCTTCATGCCCGAGTCCTTCGTGCATCTCCTGCGCTACCCCCTCTTCATGAGCCTTCGCGACGCGGTACGTTCTCCTCACCCCTTGCCATTGCCTACCTGCCTGCCTGTCTGAGAGCCCGGCTGACTGAAGGCCACGGAAGCCTGGCCAAGCCGAAGCAGTGAGTGGAGCTGACATGATTGGCATTCCGTTGTGCGCTGTCCCGTGCTGCTACAACTGGGATGGCCTCGCACCGTTTGACTCCTAAGACCACCCAACATGCAAGAGGCGTGGTTTGAAATTGAATTGACTTGAATCAACGAGTGGAGTAGTGTCTTGCTTCTCGGACCACGGAGATTGAGTGACATCATTGTCTTTGTGGAAGCATATATAAATGTATGTATATATATATATATATATAAGTGGCTTGAAAGTGGCCTGGCTTCAGGTTTGACGACTTCAGGCGTAGTAGACTGTAGGCAACAGGGCGTGCTGGAAATGCATGTATTCTCCATGTGAAAGCACCCCTCTCAAGCTCCTCATATGCCTCGTTCTTAATGCACGTACCTCTTCTCGTTGTACCGTCCTACGCATGTGCATGTGCTCGTTGCAGCTCCAGGACATGACAGGGCAAGAGATTATTGCTACAGCTTTCAAGCTCTATTACATCAACCCCATTAAGTTGAGAGTGCACTGCACCTTTCCGCTATTATCAATCCTTCCGTTCTTGATTTTTGCAAGTGTCATCTGCACACAATGCAAGTGTCTCTGTACACAATGCACCAGCCGCTGTCTGCTCCACCACAAGCGGTTCTTGAATTTAATCGAGCTGGGGGGTACTAGCTGCTACTGTAAGGGAGCCTCACCTCCCGCTCAGAGGTGCCAAGTGCAGCACCTGCTGCACCCAAAGCACGTCAGGTGAGCCAACAGTCGTCGCTTGGCCACAGTCGGCAGTGCGCTGGCACCTGTACGAATCTACAGCCAGGGCAAGGAACGTGTAATGATCCCTTCGGTTATGGCAAACCTTTTGGTCCGTGAACCATTCCCTAACCCGGGAGCCTAGAGTGGAATGGATGAATAGCAATCTGGTGTGCGCTATCTGCTTCCGTGTAACCATGAGTGCGTGCGTCCAAGGTCGATTGCTTGCAGGGCTGCTCGCAGCAGCTTGAGAGGCACGCATGTGATGGCCAATACAAGGGTCACCTCCTCAGTTGAATGACAAGGGCGAGAGTGCTTGGTGAAGGGGCGAAAGTGCTTGGAGAATGGCAGGGGCGAGAGTGCTTGTTGGCGAAGCATGCAGGAATGAAAGAACCTGCCGTGCCTGGTGAAGCACCAGTATACTTCGTCGTATGCCTCAGCATGCTCTGTGAGACATTCTTGTTGTGACACGTTCTTGAGGATTCCCAAGAATGCAAATGTGGCTCTGTGACCGACGCAACCAGCCCTATTGACCGAACGATACCCTAGTCAATCCAACTTGCTGGCCATGCAAGGGAATTGGGATGGTCTACATTGTCTCACATGCTCTTCTCCAATTCATATTCTCTACACCTCCTTTTACAGAAACTCCCCTCTTTAGTGACTGTATTCAAAGACATGAATTTCTGACTCTCACTCCAATCAGTCCTCTGACCTCCTTTTTTTTTCCCCTCCCCCCCTTACAATGATGCTCATCGTGCAGCAACAAGAACAAGGCGGTGGATCCGTTCACCACCTTCCCCACCATCGACATTGCTTTCCTCTCTCCAGACAACACCAGTGCCACCACCGCGCACTTCTATATCAAGCCTCGCGAGTACCTCGCCCAGGTCAGCATGCACGTCATTTATTCACGGGCTCCTCTCATTGCAAGTACCTCCGCCCAGGTCTCCTCTTAACTTTTTTTTTTCCTCCCAATGAAACGCTTGCCTTTCCCACTACCATGCTTATGCATGCCCCTCCCATCCATCCACTGATAGGCTATCGATCAGCTGTTCAATGTTGGGATCTCACACTCGTTTTCAAGTTTTGAGACGCCCACATTCTTCCTTTCAGCTTCTTAACTACACTCCTCTCCTCTCCCTTCTCCACTATCCTCTGTTCTCTCCCAATGCCTATCCTCTCTCATCTCCTCTCACATCTCCACTCGACCCCCTTCTGTCCTCTCATCTCTCCCCTCCTCTCCTCACTTCTCCCTTCTGTTCCCCCTCCCCTCAGCTCACATCCATGCACTGGGCTTGTGTCCTTGTTCGCCATGCTCCACTCGTCAATGCCATATCATATCAGCCCCCCTTGCCCCCCTTGCCCCAAGCTTGCTGTCAGGGTCTTTTGATGAGCTTGTTGAGGCGCTGATCTTCTTAGCCTCTTCTAATGTCTCTTAGTATCCTTTGAGTCTCTTAGTATCTTTTGAGTCTCTTAGTATCTTTTGAGTCTCTTAGTATCTTCTGAGCCTCCTAGTCTCTGAGTCGCTAAGTTGCTGCCGCTTAGTTTAGTTAATAACCCCCTCATGCCACTCGTAAAGGCTCTTCCTCTATCCCATGCGGCAAAACAGGTTTCGGCTTCTGAATACTGCATACTGGCCACTTATATTGCTTCTGATAGAAACTATGCCAGCTACATTGGAGGTACGATGGTCACCTACCGCACATCCACACACTCCGCTCTCTACCAGAGCTTCTTCCAGCACCCTCCCCTGCCATCCGCCACCATGGGTACATGGCACCTCCATTGTAACGTGCTGCCGTGGTGCCAATTTTTCAGCCATGATGCCATCCTCCCCTCACTCCTCACAACACACCTACCAGTTGCATACCAGCCTAAGCAAGCTGATAGGCTCGTATTGAGCAAGCAGGGATGGTTGCATGCACAGGACTTGACGTCTGAGGCTTCTCAAAACTCAATTCCGCAACCTGCTCATTTTCCCTTCGCATTGGTTCACTGATCGTGACTGCGCTGATCATGACTCACTTAACCTTGTAGCCCACAAGCAGGACGCCAGATGAGCCTTCGTATCATCACTGCCTTTTCCCCCTGCCAAATTCACTTCCCTGTCACTAACCCTCACACCCCTGTCTTGCTGCCGCCCCCCCCGGGGTGCATGTGGTGAGCAGAGCCGGCGCTGTTCAACAAGTATCTCTTCCTCGACTACACCAACAAGACTGCAGCATGGATGGACGCCCCTAGCTGTACGCTGCTATTTTGCCCACAAAGCCGTCCTCCCCTTTCACCTCTCCAGCACACGCGCCCGCCCTCGTTTTGTTTTGTTTGTTTGTTTGTTTGTTTGTTGTTGTTGTTGTTGTTTTTTTTTTTTTTTTTTTTTTTTTTTTTTTTTTTTTTTTTTTTTTTTTTTTTTCATTTCTTGCTGGGAGCATCCTCAATCCTCTACCTCTAACTGCTGCTGCGGTTCAGGCAGGTCAGTCTATCCTCTACTTGCAGCAGGGATTGCGTTATCAACACCGGCACTCTCTACTTGCATTTCCAACACCGGCACACTCTGCGTAACAAATTAGTTCCCAAAACCCTTTGATTTGCACACATGCTTGCTCAGTGCCTGAAATGGCACCCCCTCTCCTTTTGGCCCACTAGTTATTCTCCTGTCATCTTCTTTCTCGCTCTCTTTCTCCTTTCTGACACTTTGCTCCTCTCTCATCCCTCCCTTCCGCACTGCTCCTCTCGCCTCTCCTCTTTTCTCCTCTCCTCTCCTCTCCTCTCCTCTCCTCTCCTCTCCTCTCCTCTCCTCTCCTCTCCTCTCCTCTCATCTCCTCTCCTCTCCTCTCTCCTTTTCTCTTACTCTCTTCTCCTCTTCTCTCCACCCCTCTCATCTCCTCCCCTCTCCTCTCCCCTCCTCTCCTCTCCTCTCCTCACTTCCCTCCGCCCTCATCCCAACAGGTGGAGCTGAGCCCCTGCTGCCGCCACCCTCCCCGGCGCCACCATCCCCGCCTGTTTCCAAAACAGCCACTCGCTCTCTCTCCCCTCTGCCAGCAGCACTCTCAGCTGCCCTTGTCCTTGCCACCTCCGCCGCCCTGCTTGCTCTCACTCTTCTGTAGAGCCCAAGTTCCTCCAGGATATTTTTTAGCATCTCATATGCTACTGTGTTTCTGGTCTGCTTGTGAGAGCGTCTACGATGTCTTGTCAAAACATGTTTATATCATGTTAGTGATGTTAGGCTGTAGTGGGTTACTCCCTATGGGGTACAACCCTTTGTTAGGGTTGCTACTTGTACCACTCATCCTGCTTTAGTCAATCATTCCTGTTTCATGATTCTGACATGGTATTAGAGTAGGTTCGTTCCCTAGGGCCCACCGAACGTTCCGCTCTGCCCGGCATTGTAAACTTTTTTTTTTCCTGCCCTGCCAGCGCGCCAAGCGCCCTGCCCTGCCACCGCGCCACGCGCCCTGCCCGCGCCACGCGCCAGCGCCCTGCCCTGCGCGCGCTAGCGCCCTGCCCTGCCTGCGCCAGCGCCCTGCCCTGCCTGCGCCACGCGCCCTGCCCTGCCAGCGCGCCACGCGCCCTGCCCTTCCTGCGCCACGCGCCCTGCCCTGCCAGCGCGCTAGCGCCCTGCCTGCCCGCACGTCGCGCCCTGCTGCAGCCCGCACGTCGCGCCCTGCTGCAGCCTGCGCGTTGCGCCCTGCTGCCCCGCACGTCACGCCCTGCTGCAGCCCGCGCGTCGCGCCCCTCTGCTGCCCAGCGCCGCCCTGCCCGCGCGCGCTCTGCCTGCGCCACGCGCCCTGCCTGCGCCACGCGCCCTGCCCTGCCTGCGCCACGCGCCAGCGCCTTGCCCTGCGCAAGCTAGCGCCCTGCCCTGCCCGCGCCAGCGCCCTGCCCTGCCTGCGCCACGCGCCCTGCCCTGCCACCGCGCCACGCGCCCTGCCCTGCCTGCGCCACGCGCCGGCGCCCTGCCCTGCCCGCGCTAGCGCCCTGCCCTGCCCGCTCCAGCGCCCTGCCCTGCCTGCGCCACACGCCCTGCCCTGCCAGCGCGCCACGCGCCCTGCCCTTCCTGCGCCACGCGCCCTGCCCTGCCAGCGCGCCCCGCGCCCTGCCCTGCCTGCGCCACGCGCTCCTGCCCTGCCCCGCGCGTACCGCCAACTGCCGTTACCGCCTGCGCACGCTCCTAGTATTGCCACCGCTACTGCTCCAACCACTGCTGCCACTACACCTACCGTTCCAGCTACCACCACTGCAGTAGCTGCTTTCCACCTTGCGCCGCTGCTGCTGACTGACACTGCCTACCATGGCCACTATCACTGTCACACGTCAGCGGCGACGCGGGAGTCTCTCTCGCCGCAGCAGCTTCGCGAGTGGGCTATCTGGTGGGGCAGCCCCGGTGGCGGAGCTAGCCGTGCTCGTCGGCGGAAGCCGCTTTCGCCACAGCAGCGTCGTGAGTGGACTGTCCGGTGGGGTGCTACTACTGGAGGTACCTGTGAGTCTACTCCTACTGGTAGTGCCGCTAGTAGACGCTGTGGTTCTGGGGGTGGACAGAAGCAGCAGCAGCGTCCGCTGGAGACTCTCTCCCCGCAGCAGCTTCGTGAGTGGGCTGTCCGGTGGGGCAGCCCCGGTGGCGGAGGTTTTCGGGGTACTCGTACTGGGGGTGTAGAGGCACCTGGTGGCGTAGAGGCTACTAGTCTCCGTGCGTGTGACTCAGCTAGCGCAGAGGCAGAGCCTGAGGAGACCTTGCACACTTTTACTCTCGACGCAGGCGCGTCTCGTTGCTTCTTCCGCGACAGCACCACAGTCACACCACTCACAGTCCCTGTCCCTGTCACACTGGCCGACCCCTCTGGGGGCCCGGTAGTCGCGCGTGGCGGGGCTCGCTAACGAAAGGTCGCGGGGCCCGTTAAGTAACAGCCGCGATCGACGGGGGACGGGAAAAAAACAGAGAAAACGGCCGCGATCGACGAGGGGAAACGGCCGACGGGCGACTGGCGACGGGAGGGGGGGGGGGGGGGTCTACGGGCGACGGGGCCTAAGGTAAGCGCGCTACGGGCGGTCTAGGACGGGGCGCGACTAGGTGGGACCATGATAGTCGAGTGAATTTTCCTAAGGGGAAAATCTCGCTTGGGTTAACCTAGCTCTATACCATGTCACAATGTAAAAGTGACTAAAACAGGAAATACAAACAAGATATATGCAAAACCTAACCCTAGTGCAAGTACAAAATAACACAAGGGAGAACACCTAGACTAGAACTACACAAACTATAGAATTATAGTTTGACACCAGCACCTCCAGTGGTACCACCTCCTGCAGCACCAGAATCCACAGCGACAGGCTGCAGCGGCGGTGAAGACGGTCGAGGCTGAAACCCAGGAGGGACCGCCAAGCGTGCAAAGCGGCGAGGGGTCACAATGGCAGTAGGAGTCTAAGGAGGTGTCTAAGGAGACCTCCAAAGGCTCAACCAAGGGGGGTGGGTCTACCTGAGACACACCTGAGGGAGCGGGACCGGGAGGAGGGAGGGGGGCTACCGGGGGGGGGGGGTCGTCCACCAGGGAGAGAGGCGGGAGGGGTACCAGGGAACTGCGGTGGGGGTGAAGACGGTAGAAGCAGACGGACTCGTCAAAGGTGACCTCGCAGGAGGACATCACATGACGAGAGCCCGGGTGGTAAAACTGCCAGGGCGGTGCGTCGGTGGGAAAGCCAAGGAACACGCACCGAAGAGTGCGTGGAGAGAGCTTGCCCGCAGGCAAATCGCGGACAAGAGAGAGGGAACCCCAGACCCGAAACGCCGATGCATCACCAACCTCGCCCGTCCACCGCAAAGTGGGGGAGGTCTCCGGGTGGGAGACACGGGGCCAGAGGTTGAGCTGCGGTGTATCGGATCGCAAACGGCCACAGAAAATGGGGAGCAGCCGCGTTGATCATGGAGGTGCGAGCAACCTCCATGACAAGACCAATACGGCGCTCGGCAATCCCATTCTGCTGTGGAGAGGCCGGACGCGTGTACGACTGGACGATGCCCTCAGCACCACCGAAGTCCTCAAGGAGGTGGGAGCAAAACTCACCAACTCGGTCAGAGTGCAGCCGCAGGACAGGGAGGTCCTGCTGGAACCGAGCGTGAAGCTGGAGACCGACATCGCCGATCCAGCGGATCAAGACACCGCGGACATCCGCCTTGCTCTGCAAGGGGAAGACCGTGGTGTAGCACGTGTAGTCGTCGAGAACCAGCAGAAAGTAGCGCTCACCACCCTGTCCAGTGACGCGGGCGGGGCCCCACACGTCCATGTGCAGGGTATGAAGAGGAGCAGTGGTAGGAGGAAACGAGGACGAGTGAGGAGTGGCGCGCTGCCATACCCTCGACGCAGGGAAGGCAGGGCGGTGCAAGCGACCTCGGGAGCGGGGGCATGGACCTGGGGAGACCGGACACAAGGAGACGGGAGTGCATGCCACGCAGGCGTGGCAAGGAGGGGTGGCCAAGACGGTGGTGCCAGAGAAGAGTCTGGTGCATGGAGAGACGACACAAACAAGACGAAGCGACCTCAACCGACGCAGCTACCTGACCTGACTCAGCTACCAGTGCAGACTCAGTGGTCAGTGTCTACAGGCCAGACCCAGGCCTCCGAGTGAACGTGGCGAGGTGCTCACCAGTGCGCGAGTCCGTACAGATCGCCACTAGCTCGCCTCCAGGCTGGGTGACAGTGACCCACTGGTCCTGGAGGATATAGGTAGCCACCAGGTTCTTAGCGAACGAGGGGAGGTGGAGACCTGTGAGGAGGCCGGAAGGGGCCGCCGGACATGGGAGGTGGGGCCCCGTCATTAGTCGCACGCACGCACAGCAGCAGCCGCGCGCACGAGCGACCCGTCGACCCACCCGTTTCCCACTGTCGTAACTGCCGCCCCACCCGTTAGACGCGGCCCCACCCGTTGCCTTACCCGCCGCCCACCCTGTTAGCCGTCGCCTCACCCGCGATCTGCCGCCCCACGAGCAGAAAACCGCCGCCACACCAGAAATCCGCCGCCCCCAGACCTGAAACCCGTCGCCCCACCTAGAAATAGTTGCCCCAGACCTGCTAGAACCGTCCTTGCAGCGCCAGCAGCTGCTAGAACCGTGCTAGCAGTGCCAGTAGCCGCTAGAACCGTCCTAGCAGCGCCAGCAGCCGCTAGAAATGTGATAGCAGCGCCAGCAGCCGCTAGAACCGTGCTAGCAGCGCCAGCAGCCGCTAGAACCGTGCTAGCAGTGCCAGCAGCCGCTAGAACCGTGCTAGCAGTGCCAGCAGCTGCTAGAAATGCGCAAGCAGCCCCACCTGTCCAGCAGCCCCACCTGAACCGCACAGAACCGCGCAGAACCACACTGAATCGCGCAGAACCGCACAGAACCGCGCAGAACCGCACTGAACCGCACAAAGCAGAACCAGCAGCAGCTTAGGCTGCCACCAGCAGTACCAGTTGCAGCTTAGGCTACCCCCAGTAAAACCAGCAGCAGCTCAGGCTGCCACCAGCACAACCAGCAGCTTAGGCTGCCACCAGCAGTACCAGTTGCAGCTCATGCTACCCCCACTTAAAACCAGCAGCAGCATAGGCTGCCACCCGCAGAACCAGCAGCAGCTTAGGCTGCCACCAGCAGAACCAGCAGCAGCTTAGGCTGCCACCAGCAGTACCAGTTGCAGCTTAGGCTACCCCCAGAAACACCAGCAGCAGCATAGGCTGCCACCAGCAGAACCAGCAGCAGCTTAGGCTGCCACCAGCAGAACCAGCAGCAGCTTAGGCTGCCACCAGCAGAACCAGCAGTAGCTTAGGCTGCCACGAGCAGAACCAGCAGCAGCTTAGGCTGCAACCAGCAGAACCAGTAGCAGCTTAGGCTGCCCCCCCAGCAGAACCAGCAGCAGCTTAGGCTACGGCCAGCAGCACCAACAGCAGCTTAGGCCCACCTGTAAGCACCCCCCCCGTTTCTAACTACTCACATGGCGTGTACTAGAGTTCTACAGCAGCAGGGCCAGCCGCAGCACTCCCGGCAGTGGGGACCTGCGGGTCCAAAGTGTGGAGCCCCCAGCAGTGGCTTAGCTAGCAGTGGGCGAGACGTCGGCCCCTGCGGGTACCGGGCCCTGACAGGCCC